GTAGTAGTAGGTAGTAGTAGGTAGTAGTAGGTAGTAGTAGGTAGTAGGTAGTAGGTAGTAGGTAGTAGGTAGCAGGTAGTAGGTAGTAGGTAGTAGGTAGTAGGTAGTACGTAGTAGGTAGTAGGTAGTAGGTAGTAGGTAGTAGTAGTCACAACAAGTTTAAACAAGCACAAAGAAAAGGCCAGGGACACAGGATCAAATTAATAGGGGGTAGTAGTGCAGATTATTGATGGGGGACCGGCCCTTGTGAGGGGTACCCTTTGTGAGCTTGTCAAATGATTGTGTTTAATTGTTTTTTAATAAGGCAATTTATAGGCCCTGAGCCCTAGACATTTTTAAGGATTTCATCAAACATGTAGTAGGTAGTAGGTGGTGGTGGTGGTGGTGGTGCTGGTGGTGGTGGTGGTGGTGGTGGTGGTCGGGGGGTTTCTGATGCCCAACTAGAAGATGAGGGGGGGAAATAGGCACGAATAATACTTTTAATTTGGTCAGTTTCTGGTGGGCTTGTGTCTTCGGATTAACTAGGGGAGGTTTATTAATCGTAACTTGACATTTATATATATATACACGTACATGTTGACTGCCAATTGCCCTTGAAGTCAATGGAGTCCAAGTAAGTGCAAGAGCAAAGCCTTTAGCGAGCGAGGGTCGCAGTACGGGTGGATCAAGGGCCCCAAAAGCATTCGAGATGAAGAGCAGCGGCCACCGGGCCAATTCGCAACTGCCTGCATGGTCTCATGAAGTGGAGAATGACCCCAAAACGCAAGATTTATGTGCAGCAAAGGTCTTGAAGTCTTCATGTCTTTTTGGAAAACATTCAAGAATTTGCCCTCTCTCCTCAGTCGCTCTGCCCCTTTGTTTTTGAACGCTTTCAGGCACCATGGAGTTGCTGTCCGAGTGTTCGAACTCGTAGAGGGTGAAGGCTGTGATAGGTTGTTGGAGTTTGCACCACGCAAATTCGATTATTCAACAGCCCATTGTCGTATGGAGCACGAACACTGTCGTGCGCCTGCGTTGCTTCCAACCTTTTTCCGCTGCTTCTTGATCTTAGTACCAGCTCCGAGGAACATGAGCTTGTCATTCCAGCCTTGATGGCGCGCCTGAAGAAGAAGCCCTACAATGGTCCATGAGGACCGAGATAGCTCCGACACCGTGGCACTCGCAAAGGAATCGCGGTTCCGGCGGCCGAATCAGAGAAAGCTTTTGAGCAGAACGAAAGCGTGAAGCTTTGACGAGCTTGGTGAGCCGTGATCCAAAGTCAATAAAACATATCATGAGCCGATGGTTGACGTTGCCATTTCCTTTGTGTGTTGCCTCCACCAAAGCCATTGAAGTCAGGTCTGATCACCATTACTGGACAGACCCCATGAGCCCTCAATAGCCCACATAGGCATTTTCAACTTGATCAGCGGCGCTCTCAAGGACTTCTGACGACATCTTCTTCTGCTTCCATATTCCATTCGGCTTCGTAGGTGGCTTCATTGTGCCACCATTCATCACCCCAATACGCTTCATGAGCTTCTTTGCAACAGAAAGCATCGTCCCTGTTGCTCTTGGAGTAGTCCTTCTGGTGTGGTTTGTAGTCACCGCTGAATGTGAATGAAGCTGCAGTTTCGTCATTGTCCAGGTTCTCCACGCATCAACGTCATCTGGGCGTGAGTCAATCGCAGTGCGACAGCCCGTGTCAGCGCTTGCCACCCTGCTAAGAGAGGTCAATCTTTCTTTCCTTTAATTTCCGTCGTTTTCTTAAGCAATGCCTTGCGGCGAACTAAAGCTTCTTGTGTCTTCTGCCTGTGAAACTCCTCAAAGAACTTTGAGAATTTGTTTGGAGCTGGACCATCGCTTGTTCTGGACAGCTTGCCACGGGTCGAAATGGCCCAGCGGATCGTTGCGTGTTGTTCAAGTATCTTTGAGAAGGGAGACAACAAGCAAAGCGCCTTCAACTTCTGCATCTCAAGATCTTCTTCGGCGCTGCGTTTGGAAGAGCTCGATCTTCTGAGAAAGGCCACCAGAGCTCCATGCAGGTTTGGCAAGTCTGGAATGTAAGCCACAAAAAGAAGTATTTTTTGCAGTATTTTGACATGAGCTCTCTGGGGCCAGTCTGACTCGAAGGACCCTTCGGGGCGTTTCTGCGAAGATTGGGGTGAGGCTATTGTTGGGGATCGTGATTGCTTTCGGCGAAAGGCCTTCGCTAAAAAAGCTCCACTTGTCCAATGAAGCTCTGACGTGGGATTTGCCCTGCCCACTCGATCCTTGCCATCTCCTAACCTTGACATTCAGCCATTTTGGCCCTCACCTCCTGCCTGTCGAACTCCTACCTGTAGGTCAACCTTGTCACCTGGCACCTGCCATGAACTTCACTGCCATGCCCTTTCCATCTCCCACCCAGAGCCTTTCATAGCAAGTGCAAATACGCCTGCCCACTGACACGAGACCCGGAGCTGTTCTGACAGTGTTGACTTGGGAATGGTGCCAAGTGTGCTGCCAATGCTGCCAAGTTGACAAATTCACTGCTGACGTCACGCAACCAGCGCAAGACAAAGCATTATATTTCAGGGCAAACCTTCAGGCAAGTGAGCTTTGCAATGCCTGCAATTCGCTGTGCTCAGCTGCGTTATTTTTGTTTAGATAAACTTACCTAGAATTTTGGAGTTACTTGTAAGCTCTATCTCCAACGCAAACAAAATACATGGTGAAAGACAGCTTTGAAGAAGCTTCCCGCTTTTTGCATCCCCTCTTCGTGCGCCTTCGATGTTACTGGCACCATTGCAAGAATTCAATGGGTACTGTACGACCGGATCTCTGCGGGCAATTTGGCTGTGCCTACAGTTGTTTGTTCCTGTCAGCGGAGACTTACTGTAACTGCAATAGCGTCAGATTCCACAACATACCTGGCTGAAGGCAACTGCCAAACGAGATGAACTGGCTTCTGAACAGGCGGTAGCGTAAAGATACTAGTAAAAGTGCCGCAAATATACTTATACGCGGTAGTGCTGATCTCATTTCTTAGATCAACTAGCTAGCAAGTGCAGTTCTAGCTGACTGCTATTGCTTTCTGCCGCTGCTAGCACAGCCGAAACGAGCGCCGGTGAGACCACCTTTGTGACCGCCTGGCGGCCGTGCCACGACCGCTACTGCTTTTGCTAGATTCAATGCTGCTTGCTCAAAACCCTGCAGCAAACTAGGATCCTTTTATGTTGCTAGGTTATGTCTTGTGAATAGGCCTTTGTCCATAGCGTTTCTGCTTGCGTTTCATCGCTTGCAACCATGTCCTGTTCTCCCTGCAAGGCTGGTGGAGCTTCTAGAGCAGTGGAACTCGAATCGTCGAATGGCCCCTTTGGCAGCCGCCCCAGAGAGGAAACTCAAGTTATTGAACCCTTGCAAGATTTTGCACTCAAGAACCGCGCGCAGTCACTGCCGACGTCCATGTTGTGGCTAGATTGATGGCGCGAGAGCGCAACGGGTGCCGCAAATAGACTTTCTGCGGTTGTTTTTTGGTGACACGGATTTTCACAACCGTGGAGGCGTTCACATTTTTGTTGTTTCTTGTACATGTATGCGACGTGTCTAAGTAGTTGGGGTGGGGTGGGGCGTGTTAACTGTTAACGTTCACGCGCACTTACGTGGATGTTGATGCTATGCGTTAGGTTAACGTTCATGTTATATAACTGGGGCGGGGCGAGGTGGGGCGGCGCATGTTAACGTTCATGTGCACTTGCGTGGGGGATGCTGTGGGTTATGTGAACGTTCATGTTAACTGGGTGGGGCATGTTAACGTTCATGTGCACTTGCGTGGGATGTTGATGCTGTGGGTTATATATGTCAACGTTCATGTTAACTGGGGTGGGGTGGGGTGAGGGGTAAGTTCCCCCAGAAGTGGCAGTAGCTTTACTGGACCTGATCGAATACACCAAGTGAGGCCACGGAGATCGACGGTGTGCGAGCGGCAGCGATGCACACCTTTTCTATGGCTGCGGACGCAGGTATTGGGCTTCAATAGTCTTGAGCCAAAATGGCTACGGACGCAGGTATTGGGCTTCAATAGTCTTGGGCCAAATGAATTACAGCGTAAGCTGACTGAAGTAATCTACACAGATCTAACTACGAAGAACAGGTGCTACACACGTATAGCGTAGACACGCCCAGGGGACCTGGGGCACTACAAACACAAAACAGGCACAAATTTTCTTCGTGTCGAAGCTTACGATCGCTAAAAGTACAAAAGCTTGCATGAGCAAAAGAATGCAAATGAATTACAAAAATTCTGGCATCGCAGAACTAGACCGTAGATGCCATTCTGGCTCATCTAAGTTGCGTCAGATATTCTGCGCAACTCTACGAAAGGCAAATCTATTCTGTCGAAAGTTCCGTAATATCGGAAGTTTTCTCAAGTCAATTTCAAGTCTTTAAATCTACGCTCCAATCTTTTAAGGCCTTTGTTTCTCCAAATCTGGATCATTTAGTTCATGCAATTATTTATCTCTCAGGCAGTTCACTAACCGGAATATCGGCTGTTTAGAGTCTGTCTGCCGGCATATCGGCTTTCTGCAGACTCGGCTACCAGTTACGATAGCCTCTGCATCCGGAACTCTACGAGTATCCGGGCTGCCACCACGAGCTGGAGGCGCTTGAGGACCAGTGGTCCTGTTGCTGCCAGGAAGAGCTGGACCATCTGTCCTGTCGATTCTGACGTGCTCTATCCTTTCAGCGCTCCACTCGATCGATCTGCTTCTCAACACGGTAGGCAGCAGAGGCTTCGCCGCGCACTCGAATCTTATGACGACTGGCAAGCGCCTAGGGGACCTAGGGCACTACAAACACATGGGGTGGGGTGGGGCATGTTAACGCTCATGCGCGCTTGCGTGGGACGTTGATGCTGTGGGTTGTGTCAACGTTCATTTTAACTGGCGTGGGGTGGGGCATGTTAACGTTCATGTGACATAGCGAAAAGGTTTTTGCCGACGCAGATGAAGACACGTCAGGGAGAAAAATCGGGGAGAGAATCTTCCAATGGATCTATCGGCGTAATTCCAGAGTATGACACCGCAACCAGTCGAGCCAGAAAAATGACCGCGTGACAAGTTTTCGTCGTCCATCGCGCAATTCCATGTTTTTAAAACGTGCTCAAAACGCAGGCGGTTTGCTCGCCCACGATCACAAACGCGCGGTTGCGAGAAGCCGTGTCACCTTGTTTTTGGCTGTTGTTGTTCATTTGTGGTCATGGTCGTAGTCGTCCTCGTTGTTTATGGTGTTGTTGTTGTTGTCGTCGTCGAGTCAGGGAGCTCCCGTCAAGGAAGGTTTCATGGGCCGGTACGGTGCAGCGGCTATGACGCTTCGAAAACACAACAATAAACGAAAAAAGGGTTCATGACCTCCCTGAGCGGGGGGTGAAGCCATGGACTTCATGGAAGGTGCGTGAGTGCGCGCGCTAAAAGCACATGTGGTCTTGGCTCTGACCAGTAGCGCGCAAAACTGCCCATTTCCGCGATAAAGTGAGCAGGGTCAACCCCACATAAAAGACCATAAAATACGCTCTATATAGAACAGCTCTCCAAGGAGCGCCGTCAACCTGCGCCACTCTCCTGGCCTATTTCATTGTCTTCCCCGACTAGAGCCTACGAACCCAAGCCGATCCCCTTTCCCTCCATACTCCCACAACACACGAACTGCAACCCCTCTATAAAATGGTGTTCCCCAAAGCATATACACATCCTCATCTGCATGTGCGTATATAATATCACGAAAGCCAGCCGATAGGCTAGGCTGGAGTTGGGTTGGGCGAACGAAGTGAGTATTAGGGGGTGTGGGGGTGGTCGCGCACGGGTCAATTTCGGAGGGTGAACCTAGAGCCTGGTGGGGGAGAGCGAGGAAAAGTATTTGCAGTTTGGGAGTTGTTTTTGGGGTGTTGTGATGCGGGTGATATGATAGTGCGTCATAGGGGCTCAGGAGGCGCTCCAAACCCTCTTCTACCAGAATTCCTCCAGGAAAGGGAGAGGTGTGTAGGCACGTTGTAGGAAAAGAGGGTTTGCAAGAAATCTTGGAGTTGCCGGGCCGTGCCCTTTTTTGATGGTGAAGACGCCTGTCAACCATACGCAAAAGGGCGCCCCATTTGGGGTGGGAGTTCATGTGGATGACGCGCGTCGCGGAGGAGGACGTGGTGGGCAAAGACTGATTGCAAGAAATCCTGCAATTTCTTGGGGGTGCCTTTTCTTTGCTTATGATGCAAGACGCCTCCTAACCATACGCAAAAGGGCAGTCCATATGGAGCGCGAGTTCATGTAATGACGCGGTCCGTTGAGGGCAGGAGAGGGAACAGAATGCAGCGGGCAAGCTTCGAGTTGCTTGGGCCCAAGCCTATGTATTTTGCTTTCTATTTCTACCCCCTGTCGGCATGGCTGCAATGTGGACTTCACCCCGTAACAAAGGTACTCTTTGCCCGATGTTAGCCAACCACTTGATCTTGCGCGCCAGATCTTTGAGTCCATCTACAGGACGCGAACAACAAACTGCGGGCAAGTGCCCCTGAGTTCTTGCAAAATATTGGCATTCATTCCCGCTGCACTGTGGGTATGATGCTCCTTTCCATTGATCGTCGCATTGACCCCACGAGACCTGCAGAAGATGACTCAGCAAGAACCCAAACAAAACTCCCATGCTGAATACCATTGCCAAAATCATTTCGGATTCACGACCATCCAGCAAACGAAGCGCTGTGTCCATGGTCCACAAAGAATCGCACGCGTCCCAAGTAGCATGTGGAATCCATTGCGGAGGGCCCACCCAATGTTCAACCTGAAGCCGCGCCCAATGATCATGAGAGCGGTTGAGTGGAGGACATGTCCAAAGGTTTGGGGGTTCCAAATACCATTTGAAGAGGCTTGGACCCAGTTGATGATATTTGTTGAAACATCAAAAGTATGCCTCCTTTGATTTCTATTTTTGGGTTCTGTCACATTCCATGATCGAGTCATCAATACAGTCCTGTCCAACAACAGTAGCATCACTGCTATGTCGACGTCCCCCCATAACAACGGTAATCTTTCCCCAAAGCCCAACCCCCGCGATCTCGGCAGTAAACTTTCCTCAGTCCACTCTTCGCAGCGCGCCGACTTTATGAGTCTGTCTACAACACAAGACAAACAAACTGCAGGCAAACGTTCTCCGTTCCTTAGGGGTGCCCTGGTTTATCTTCAAAGCGCCCCTTGAGCGACAAAAGCAGGGGCACCCCACTCCCCCACCTGTGAATGAGAGCCTGTCATATTGGCCTTTACTCAAACTCTCCCCACCTTTGCCTTCTCTTTCCCCATTCCTGGCAGCGGCTCCAGTGCGCTCTCGACTTCATCCCCATTGCCATATTCATGTGCTTTTTCGGAGACTGGCTTTCGTCCCCTCCCTGCTCTGGTATATATAAATATGTACGTAAACGTAAAGCTTTTTGAGCTCATGCCAATCTTATTGCCGTACCCGTTTGCAAACTGATGTCAGATTAGATCAGAATCTGCGAAGCTTTTCACGATACGGGTCTAGTCCGTGCGTGTCATCCTTCGATGAACTGCCACGAAGAAACTCTTGAGTACTTACCATTCATGCAAGCACTCCTCCTTTGAGCTGCTGAGTTTTGTACTCTCAGCTCAACCCTTATGGGTAAAAGTTGTGCGCGTGATGCACTGAACTCTTCATCAGCTCTTGCATTTCGGCCATCAGTGCTCGATTCCCGTTCCTGTGGCCGTGGAACCAATTCGCCTCCATTTTCAGGAGTTCTTCCCTAGAAACCAAATCCGCTCTATTGCACGCTCGATTAAAGTGAGCATACTGAGAGTCGGGAATCTTGACGCTCTCAGGTTCCCAGGCGGTATTCACCACTTCTGGCGGGCTCTCTTCGCTGCCCATGGATTCATCTTGTACTTCTTCTTCTCCCGGAGTTGGCTCAGGTTCTGCCATTGGCATTGTTGTTGCCTGTCCTCCACCTTGGTCTTCTTCTCTGGGCTTGACATACTCCACCGGGACCTCCACAATGCGGCCCTGATCCAAGACAATGATCGCAGTGGCTCCACTCAGTCCTGGTTCTCCTGGATCCACATCTATGTTGACAATCCCAAATCCAGCTGGTTGTTCTCCACGTTCTCCTGGATGGTTTCCATCTTGTTCCATCTCTTCCGAAGCCTCAGCCCATCGTGCCACCTGTTGATCTCCTCCAAATAGTGCAAGATCTGCCATTCCAGCCTCTGGACTGAAGGATCTTCAATGTGTCCTCCAGCAGTGATCAGTCCTCGATGCACCCGCTCCACATAGTCAGCTGTCATAGAATTCTCTCTGTCTTGTTGTTCGACAGTTTCTCGA